GCCACACCCTCTGAGTGTGGCCCCACCCTATTATGACCACACCCTCTGAGCATGGCCCCGCCCCGTTCATGACCACACCCTCTGAGCGTGGCCACGTCTCCATTTATGGCCACACCCTCTGAGCGTGGCCACACCCCCATTTATGGCCACACCCTCTGAGTGTGACCCCACCCCCATTTATGGCCACACCCTCTGAGTGTGGCCACGCCCCATTTATGACCACACCCTCTGAGCGTGGCCCCGCCCCCAGTGTCCCCCGAGGGGCGTGGCCGGGCGCTGGTGCTCCGCGCGCGGGCGCTGGGCGTGGTCCCCGAGGTGGGCGGGGCCAGGGCGGAGCAGGCGCTCGGCCACGCCCTCAAACTGGACCCGGCACTGGGAGCGGCCTGGAGGCAACTGGGGGAGCACCGGTGGGCACGGGGGGACCTCCGGGGGGCTCGAGATGCCTTCGGGGGAGCCCTGCAGCAGGTCAGGGGGGATGGAGGTGGGGGAGGGGTCCTGAGGGCGTTATGGGGCTGGGGAGGGGTCCTGGGGGGTTATGGGGCTGGGGAGGGGTCCTGGGGGTTACTGTGGGGATTTATGGGGCTGGGGAGGGGTCTTGGGGGGTGTTATGGGGCTGGGGAGGGGTCCTGGGGGACACTGGGGTGGGTATGGGGCTGGGGAGGGGTCCTGGGGGCGTTATGGGGCTGGGGAGGAGGGGTCCTGGGGGGTTACTGTGGGGATTACGGGGCTGAGGAGGGGGTCCTGGGGGGCGTTATGGGGCTGGGGAGAGGTCCTGGGGGTGTTAGGGGGCTGGGGAGGGGTCCTGGGGGACACTGGGGTGGGTTATGGGGCTGGGCAGGTAACCTGGGGGATCACTGGAGGTTACGGGGTTGGGAGAGGGTCCTTAGGGGTTACTGGGGTCATGGGGCTGGGGAGGGGTCCTGGGGGATCACTGGGGAGTTACGGGTCTGGGGAGGGGTCCTGGGGGATCACTGGGGTGGGTTTTGGGGTGGGGAGGGGTCTTTGTGGTCACTGGGGGTTATGGGAGAGCTCTGGGGGCTCGTTGGTGGTTTCTGGGGGTGTGGGTCAGATTTTGGGGTCCCCACGCCCCCTTCCCGCAGGGGGAGGACCCCGAGGCCCGGCGCCTCCTGTCCAATGGCCCTGCGGGCGCAGGGGGCAGGGCCTCCGCAGGGGCAGGGCACCCGCAGGGGCAGGGCACCTGCAGGGGGCGGGGCCCTGCGCGGGGGCGGGGCCCTGCGAGAGCCTGGCCCAGGCCGAGGCGGCCGTGAGGTGCGACCCCCGCGACGGCCAGTCCTGGTGTGAGTGGGGGGCTCGGGGGGGTCCCCAGGTGACCTTGAGGGTCCTGGGGGCTTTTGGGAGGGTCCTGGGGGCTTTTGGGAGGGTCCTCAGGGGGTCCCGGGGTGACCTAGAGCGTCCTGGGGGCTTTTGGGAGGGTCCTGGGGGCTTTTGGGAGGGTCCCCAGGGGGTCCTGGGGGCTTTTGGGTGGGTTCTGAGAGGGTCCTGGGATGACCTAGAGCGTCCTGGGGGCTTTTGGGAGGGTCCCCAGGGGGTCCCGGGGTGACCTTGAGGGTCCTGAGGGCTTTTGGGAGGGTCCCCAGGGGTCCTGGGGGCTTTGGGTGGGTTCTGAGAGGGTCCTGGGGTGACCTAGAGGGTCCTGGGGGCTTTTGGGAGGGTGATGGGGTGGGTCCCTTGGGGGTCTGGGGGTCCCCATGGGGGTCTGGGGGATTCTGGGGGTTTTTGGGAGGGTGATGGGGTGGGTCCCATGGGGGTCTGGGGTCCCCATGGGGGTCTGGGGGTTTTTGGGAAGAATGCAGGGGCGTTTGGGGGTCCCAGCTGGGTCTAGGGGTTCCCAGGAGGGTCTGAGGGATTCTAGGGGCTTTGGGAGGGTGATGAGGTGGGTCCCATGGGGGTCTGGGAGTCCCCATGGGGGTCTGGGGGATTCTGGGGTTTTTGGGAGGGATGCAGGGGCCTTTGGGGTTCCCAGCTGGGTCTGGGGGTCCCCATGGGGGTCTGGGGATTCTAGGGGTTTTGGGAGGGTGATGGGGGTGGGTCCCATAGGGGTCTGGGGTCCCCATGGGGGGTCTGGGAGATTCTGGGGGTTTTTGGGAGGGACGCAGGGGCCTTTGGGGGGTTCCCAGCTGGGTCTGGGGGTTCCCGTGGGGGTCTGGGGGCTCCCAGTGGGGAGTTTTGGGAAGGGGAGGGGTCCCTGTGGGGTTGCTGGGGCAGGGGAGGTTTTTGGGGTGGTTTTGGGGTCTGGGGGTGTTTTGGGGTTGCTGGGGCAGGGGAGGTTTTTGGGGTGGTTTTGGGGGTCTGGGGGTGTTTTGGGGGATGGGGAGGCAGGGGAGGTTTTTGGGGTGGTTTTGGGGGTCTGGGGGTGTTTTGGGGGATGGGGAGGGGTCTCTGAAGCCCCCCTTTGTCCCCCTCCCGTCTCCAGACGTGCTGGGCAACGCCCACGTGTCGCTGTTCTTCGCGGGGGGACAGAGCCCCCAGAGCGCCCGGCGCGCCCTGGCAGCCTACGGGCAGGCGGTGAGGCACTGGGGGCACTGGGAACGGACTGGGAACGAGACTGGGGGCACTGGGAATGGACTGGGGGCACTGGGAGGCACTGGGGGGGCACTGGGAATGGACTGGGAATGGACTGAGGGCACTGGGAACGGACTGGGAGCACTGGGGGCACTGGGAACGGACTGGGAATGGACTGGGGGCATTGGGGGCACTGGGAATGGACTGGAGAACGGATTGGGGGCACTGGGAATGGACTGGGGGCAGTGAAAATGGACTGGGGGCACTGGGAATGGACTGGGGGCACTGGGAACGGACTGGGAACGGACTGGGGGGCACTGGGGGGCACTGGGAATGGACTGGGAGGCACTGGGGGGGCACTGGGAATGGACTGGAGGCACTGGGAATGGACTGGAGGCACTGGGGGCACTGGGAATGGACTGGGGGGCGTGGTCACGCTCTGGGGGCGTGGTTTGGCAATGGGGGCGTGGTTTTGCAATGGGGGCGTGGTTAAGAGAGCTGGGGGTGTGGCCTGACCTTATAAGGCAATAAGGCGCCTTTGGGCAGACAGGGGGCGCCAGAGAGCGCCGGGGGGGGCGTGGCCTTGGCAAAAGGGGTGTGGCCAATGCAGTGGGCGTGGCCAGGCACGCTAAGCCAATAGGGGATGCTCTTGGGGGACCCTGGGGAGGAACTGGGGGGCACTGGTGTTACTGGTGGGCCCTTTCCAGGAGCGGGTCGACCCCCAGGCGGCCAATAACCCCGACCTGCACCTGAACCGCGCTACGGTGAGTGACCTGACCCCCAAAACAGCTCAAATCCACCCAAAAATGGCTCAAACGCACCCAAAACAGCTCAAACCCACCTGAAAATGGTTTAAACCCCCTTGAAAACGGCTCAAACCCACCTGAAAACAGCTTAAACCCACCCAAAACTGGCTCAAATCCACCCAAAACCAGCTCAAACCCACCCAAAACCGGCTCAAACCCACCTGAAAATGGCTCAAACCCACCCGAAAATGGCTCAAACCCACCTGAAAACGGCTCAAACGCACCCAAAAGAGGCTCAACCCCCCCTTAAAAACGAGCCAGCCAATGAGGTCCCACCGGGCGTGGCCACCCCTCAAGCCCCCCAGTAGGAGTTTGGGGGGCGTGTCCTGGCATGCTAATGAGTCCATTAACGGGCTCATTACCCCGCCCCTTCAGTAGGCGCTCAGGGGGCGTGTCCTGGCATGCTAATGAGCCAATTAACGGGCTCATTAACCCCCAGCTCCTGCAGTACCTGGAGCGGTTCATTATCCCCCCCCAGTAGGAGCTCGGGGGGCGTGTCCTGGCACTCTAATGAGCCAATTAACGAGCTCATTATCCCCAGCTCCTGCAGTACCTGGAGCGGTTCATTATCCCCCCCCATTAGGAGTTTGGGGGGCGTGTCCTGGCACTCTAATGAGGCAATTAATGAGCTCGTTATCCCCCCCCATTAGGAGTTTGGGGGCTGTGTCCTGGCACTCTAATGAGCCAATTAACGAGCTCATTACCCCCCCAGCTCCTGCAGTACCTGGAGCGGTTCATTATCCCCCCCCCAATAGGAGCTCAGGGGGTGTGTCCTGGCACGCTAATGAGCCAATTAACGAGGCTCATTAACCCCCCAGCTCCTGCAGTACCTGGAGCGGTTCCAGGCGGCCCTGGAGGGGCTCAGCCGGGCCATGGCCCTGGACCCCTCCTGGGAGGAGCCCCGGAAGCGCCACAGGAACCTCCTGGAATTCCTGAGCCGCCTCTGCGCCCTGCTGGAGAACAGGGTGGGGCACTGGGAGGCACTGGGAGGCACTGGGAGGGACTGGGAGGGGATTGGGAGGCACTGGGAGGGACTGGGAGGGGATTGGGAGAGAATGGAGGGCACTGGGAGGGATTGGGAAGGACTGGGAGGGGATTGGGAGGCACTGGGAGGGACTGGGAGGGGATTGGGAGGCACTGGGAGGGACTGGGAGGGGATTGGGAGAGAATGGGGGGCACTGGGAGGGACTTGGAGGGTATTTTGGGGGGACTAGGAGGGGACTGGGGGCACTGGGAGAGAATGGGGGGCACTGGGAGGGACTGGGGGAACTGGGAGTGACTGGGGTCACTGGGAGTACTGGGGGAACTGGGAGTGACTGGGGGTCACTGGGAGGGACTGGGGGCACTGGGAGTACTGGGGGTCACTGGGGTCAGTCCCAGTGGGCGTGTCCCTTGCTGACCCCGCCCCTCTCCCCCCATCCAATCAGGGGAAGCTGCGGGGGAAGCGGAGGCGGGGCCTGGCAGGGCCGGTGCCCCTCCCCCTGCTGGGCCCCCTGGGGGGTCCGGGGGGGCCCCGGCCCAGCCCCCTCCCCACTCTGAGGGTGGGGAGCAACCCCCAGAGGGTGGTCCTGGGGAGGGTCCTGTTCAGCCTGGCCCCCCCCGGGGGGGTTCCCTAGTGAGTACCGCGGCACTGGGACGGACTGGGGGGCACTGGGATGGACTGGGAGGGGCTGGGAGGGAACTGGGATGGACTGGGAGGGAACTGGGAGGGAACTGGGAGAGAACTGGGGAGCACTGGGATGGATTGGGAGGGCACTGGGAGGGAACTGGGGGGCACTGGGATGGAACTGGGAGGGCACTGGGAGGGAACTGGGACGGACTGGGGAGGGGGCTGGGAGGGGCTGGGAGGGAACTGGGAGGGAACTGGGATGGATTGGGATGGAACTGGGGGGCACTGGGATGGACTAGGGGGGGTTCAAAACCACCTCAACCCCCCCAAAATGGTGTCCTGAACCCCCAAAATCACCTGAAACCCCCCCAAAATGGTGTCCTGAACCCCAAAACCACCCCAAACCCCCCCAAAATGTCCTGAACCCCAAAATCACCTGAACCCCCCAAAATGTCGTCCCCCCAGCGGTGGGTCTGCAGGACGGGGAGGGGCCGTGGCCGCCGTCACCGTTTACAACGCGGGGCCCGACTGGGGGGTCCAGGTGGGCGACGCCCTGGGGGTGCCCGACCCCCTGGTGACCCAGCACCTGCACCAGCACCAGGGACAGGTGCCACTGGGAGCCACTGGGAGCCACTGGGAGGGACTGGGGATGGGATCTGGGGGCACTGGGAGCTGCTGGAGGGGAAACTGGGGGCACTGGGGGGGACTGGGGGTGCCCAACCCCCTGGTGACCCAGCACCAGCACCAGCACCAGGGACAGGTGCCACTGGGAGCCACTGGGAGGCACTGGGGGAGACTGGGGGCACTGAGAGGGACTGGGGATGGGATCTGGGGGCACTGGGAGGGACTGGGACACACTGGGAGGGACTGGGAGGGGTGGAATCTGGGGGCACTGGGAGGGACTGGAGAACCATGGGGGGCACTGGGAGGGACTGGGGATGGGATCTGGGGGCACTGGGAGGGACTGGGACACACTGGGAGGGACTGGGGATGGGATCTGGGGGCACTGGGGAGGGGTCTGGGGGCACTGGGAGGGACTGGGGGGATCTGGGGGCACTGGGAGGGACTGGGCTTTACTGGGAGGGACTTGGAGAGACTGGGGATGGGATGTGGGAGGAACTGGGAGGGACCAGGGGGCACTGGGAGGGACTGGGAAGCACTGGGAGCAGCCCTGGTTGTCCCAGCCAGTCTGTACTGGTTTGTACTGGTGCAAACTGGTTTGTACTGGTTCACAGACCTTCTCCTTCCTGGGCATCCGCGTCTCCTCCCCGCTCTCATTGGTCGTCAACGGGCGCCGCCCTCCAGGCTCCGCCCTGGCCCCGCCCCGCCTGGCGCTGTCCAATCCGCGCGCGCCACCGCCCGCCCCGGCCACGCCCACTGCGCCCTGACCACGCCCAGGGGGCGGGGAATAAAGGACTTTTTGGTGGAGCCACGCCCCCTGGCGCCATTTTGGGTGTGGGAGCCGCCATATTGGAGGGGGCAGCCATGTTGGAGGGGGAGCCGCCATATTGGACAAGGGGGCAGCCATGTTGGATGGGTGGTGTGGGAGCTGCCATATTGGATGAGGGAGCCGCCATATTGGACAAGGGGGCAGCCATGTTGGAGGGGAAGCCGCCATATTGGATGTGGGGGTGGCCATGTTGGAGAGGGAGCCGCCATATTGGAGGGGGTGGCCATATTGGACAAGGGGGCAGCCATGTTGGAGGGGAAGCCGCCATATTGGATATGGGAGTGGCCATGTTGGATGGGTGGTGTGGGAGCTGCCATACTGGATGAGGGGGTGGCCATGTTGGATGAGGGGGCAGCCATACTGGATGGGTAGTGTGCGAGCTGCCATATTGGATGAGGGGGTGGCCATGTTGGATGAGGGGGCAGCCATACTGGATGGGTAGTGTGCGAGCTGCCATATTGGATGAGGGGGCGGCCATGTTGGATGGATAGCGTGGGAGCTGCCATATTGGATGAGGGGGTGGCCATGTTGGATGGGTGGTGTGGGAGCTGCCATATTGGATGTGGGAGCTGCCATATTGGATGGGTGGTGTGGGAGCTGCCATATTGGACAAGGGGGCAGCCATGTTGGAGGTGGAGCTGCCATATTGGATGAGGGGGTGGCCATATTGGATGGGTGGTGTGGGAGCTGCCATATTGGATCAGGGGGTGGCCATGTTGGATGAGGGGGCAGCCATGTTGGATGAGTGATGTGGGAGCTGCCATATTGGATGAGGGGGCCGCCATGTTGGAGGTGGAGCTGCCATATTGGATGAGGGGGCAGCCATGTTGGATGGGTGATGTGGGAGCTGCCATATTGGATGAGGGAGCTGCCATATTGGATGGGGGGGCAGCCATGTTGGACAGGGAGCCACCATATTGGATGAGGGGGCAGCCATGTTGGATGGGTGATGTGGGAGCTGCCATATTGGATGAGGGAGCTGCCATATTGGATGGGGGGGCAGCCATGTTGGACAGGGAGCCACCATATTGGATGAGGGGGCAGCCATGTTGGATGCGTGGTGTGGGAGCCGCCATATTGTACGAGGGGGCGGCCATGTTGGAGGGGGAGCTGCCATATTGGATGAGGGGGCGGCCATGTTGGATGGATAGCGTGGGAGCTGCCATATTGGATGAGGGGGTGGCCATGTTGGATGGGTGGTGTGGGAGCTGCCATATTGGATGTGGGGGTGGCCATATTTGATGAGGGGGCAGCCATGTTGGAGGTGAAGGCACCATATTGGATGAGGGAGCCGCCATATTGGATGTGGGGGCGGCCATGTTGGATGGGTAACGTGGGAGCTGCCATATTGGATGTTGGGGCAGCCATATTGGATGAGGGAGCCACCATATTGGATGAGGGGGCAGCCATGTTGAATGGGTAGTGTGGGAGCCGCCATATTGGACAAGGGGGCAGCCATGTTGGAGGGGGAGCTGCCATATTGGATGAGGGAACGGCCATGTTGGAGGGGGAGCTGCCATATTGGATGTGGGGATGGCCATGTTGGATGGGTAATGTGGGAGCTGCCATATTGGATGAGGGGGCAGCCATGTTGGATGGGTGGTGTGGGAGCTGCCATATTGGATGTGGGGGCAGCCATGTTGGAGAGGGAGCTGTCATATTGGAGGGGGTGGCCATATTGGACAAGGGGGCAGCCATGTTGGAGGGGAAGCCGCCATATTGGATATGGGAGTGGCCATGTTGGATGGGTGGTGTGGGAGCTGCCATACTGGATGAGGGGGTGGCCATGTTGGATGAGGGGGCAGCCATACTGGATGGGTAGTGAGAGTAGCTGCCATACTGGATGAGGGGGTGGCCATGTTGGATGAGGGGGCAGCCATACTGGATGGGTAGTGTGCGAGCTGCCATATTGGATGAGGGGGCGGCCATGTTGGATGGATAGCGTGGGAGCTGCCATATTGGATGAGGGGGTGGCCATGTTGGAGGGGGAGCTGCCATATTGGATGTGGGGGCAGCCATGTTGGAGAGGGAGCTGTCATATTGGACAAGGGGGCAGCCATGTTGGAGGGGAAGCCGCCATATTGGATGAGGTGGCAGCCATGTTGGAGGGAGAGCTGCCATGTTGAATGTGGGGGCAGCCATGTTGGATGGGTGGTGTGGGAGCTGCCATATTGGAGGAGGGAGCGGCCATGTTGAGAAGGAGGGGCTTTGGGGGGGTCTGTGGGAGCACTTTTGGGGGGTTTTTTAGAGGATCCCTGGGGGCCATTGTTGGGGGACGTTTAAGAGGTTTTGGGGGCCTCTGGAACCGTTCTGGGGGTCTCAGGGTCCCTGGGTGCCCCTTTCCCCCCACAGCACCGTTATTTACAAACATCCGTCCTTTAATCGTCGTCTCGAGGTATCAAAATTAAACGAGGGAGCGGGGGAGGGGCGGGAGGGGCTGAACCGAACTATGAGAGGGGGCAGGGGGCAGGAGGAGGGCGGGGAGGGGCCACGACAGCACGAACACGGCAGGGAGGGGCTGTGGGCTCGGGGCCGCTCGGGCAGGGGGTCTGGGGGTCCCAGGGCGCTCGGGGGGTCCCGGGGCTCTCAGGGGTCGTCCTCGCCATTGGCGCTGTCCCGGTCGTCCTCCCCCTCCTCCGCCTCCTTCTCGTCCCCCTTGATGGACTCCAGCTGGGGAGGGGACAGAGGGGGAAGGGTCAGGAGCGGCCCCTCCCCCAGCACGGCGAGGCTGGGGGGCACTGGTGTGTACTGGTGTGTACTGGGTGTACTGGGGAGGGAGGGGGTCTCACCTGCTCGTCCCCTCTCCTCGGCCTCCTCGTGCGTCCAGCAGGTCCCCTCCTCGGCAGAGTCCTCGTTGCCCCCCTCGGCCTTGGCCCCGCCGGCCTCGTCCTTCTTGGAGCCGCTGCCGCCCTGCTCCTCCTCTGCCTTGTCGCTCTTCGCCTCTGGGGGGGCAAGCGGGGGGTTTAGGGGCAGAAAAGGGGGTTTTGGGAAAAAAAAAGGGGGATTTGGGGACAGAAAAGGGGGATTTGGGGACAGAAAGGGGGTTTGGGGACAGAAAAGGGGGTTTGAGGGAGCTGATCCCCCTGCTCCTCCTCCGCCTTGTCGCTCTTCGCCTCTGGGGGGAAAACGAGGGGTTTAGGGACAGAAAGGGGGATTTGGGGGAAAAAGGGGGTTAGGGGACAGAAAAGGGGGATTTGGGGACAGAAATGGGGGGTTTGGGGACAGAAAAGGGGGTTTGAGGGGCTGATCCCCCTGCTCCTCCTCCGCCTTGTCGCTCTTCGCCTCTGGGGGAAAACGGGGAGGTTAGGGGGCTTTGGGGACAGAAAGGGGTTTTGGGGACAGAAAAGGGGTTTAGGGAAAAAAAAAGGGGTTTGGGGACAGAAAAGGGGGTTTTAGGAGCTGATCCCCTGCTCCTCCCTCCGCCTTGTCGCTCTTCGCCTCTGGGGGAAACGGGGGGTTAGGGGGTTTGGGGACAGAAATGGGGGATTTGGGGACAGAAAGGGGGGTTTGAGGGAGCTGATCCCCCTGCTCCTCCTCCGCCTTGTCGCTCTTCGCCTCTGGGAGAAAAGCGAAGGGTTAGGGGGCTTTGGGGGACAGAAAAGGGGATTTGGGGACAGAAAAGGGGGTTTAGGGGCTGATCCCCCTGCTCCTCCTCCGCCTTGTCGCTCTTCGCCTCTGGGGGGAAAACGGGGGTTAGGGGCAGAAAAGGGGATTTGGGGACAGAAAAGGGGGATTTGGGGACAGAAAAGGGGGTTTGGGGACAGAGAAGGGGGTTTGGGGACAGAAAAGGGGATTTGGGGACAGAAAAAGGGGTTTGAGGAGCTGATCCCCCTGCTCCTCCTCCGCCTTGTCGCTCTTCGCCTCTGGGGGGAAAACGGGGGTTTAGGGGCAAAAAGGGGGTTTGGGGACAGAAAAGGGGGTTTGAGGGACAGAAAAGGGGGTTTGGGGACAGAAAAGGGGTTTGGGGACAGAAAAGGGGGTTTGGGGACAGAAAAAGGGGTTTGGGGACAGAAAAGGGGATTTGGGGACAGAAATGGGGGGTTTGGGGACAGAAAGGGGGTTTGAGGGAGCTGATCCCCCTGCTCCTCCTCCGCCTTGTCGCTCTTTGCCTCTGGGGGAAGCGGGGGTTAGGGGGCAAAAAAGGGGGTTTGGGGACAGAAAGGGGGTTTGGGGACAGAAAGGGGGATTTGGGGACAGAAAAGGGGTTTGGGGACAGAAAGGGGATTTGGGGACAGAAAAGGGGGTTTAGGGAGCTGATCCCCCTGCTCCTCCTCCGCCTTGTCGCTCTTCGCCTCTGTGGGGAAAACAGGGGGTTTAGGGGGTTTGGGGCCAGAAAGGGGGTTTGGGGACAGAAAAGGGGGATTTGGGGACAGAAAAGGGGGTTTGGGGACAGAAAAGAGGGATTTGGGGACAGAAAGGGGGTTTGGGGACAGAAAAGGGGGTTTGGGGACAGAAAAGGGGGATTTGGGAAAAAAAAAGGGGGATTTGGGGACAGAAAAGGGGATTTGGGGACAGAAAAGGGGGGTTTGGGGACAGAAAAGCGGGGTTTTGGGGCCAGAAAAGGTTTGGGGGGGGGATTTGGGGCCTTTTAAAGGGGCAGTGGGCGGGGTCTGTGGGTCTGCCCCAGAGAAGGGGGTGTGTTCCCCCAAAAATGGGTTTACCCCCAAAAGCCCATTTTCCCCCCAAAAAAACCAGCTGTTTCCCACCCCAGAAAAGCTGTTTTCCCCCAAAAGGTCCCTTTTCCCCCCAAGAAGGATTGTTTTCCCCAAAAAGGGCAGTTTTGCCCCAAAAAGGGCAGTTTTGCCCCCAAAAAGGGCAGCTTTCCCCCAAAAAGGGCAGTTTTGCCCCAAAAAGGCTGTTTTGCCCCCAACAAGGGCAGTTTTCCCCAAAAAGGGCAGTTTTTAACCAGAAAAGGGCAGTTTTTAACCAGAAAGGGCAGTTTTCCCAAAAAAGGTCAGTTTTGCCCCAACAAAGGCCGTTTTGCCCAAAAAGGGCGGTTTTGCCCCCAAAAAGGGCAGTTTACCCCCAAAAAGGGCAGTTTTGTCCCCAGAAAGGGCAGTTTTCCCCCAAAAAGGGCAGTTTTCCCCAAAAAGGGCAGTTTTTAACCAGAAAGGGCAGTTTTGCCCAAAAAAGGGCGGTTTTGCCCCCAAAAAGGGCGCGACCCTCACTCTGCTCCCGCTCCAGCCGCTCCAGGCTCTCCAGCAGCGCGTCCACCTTGGCCTTGATCTGCCCCAGCTCCTTCTTGATGCTCTGCAGGTCGTCCCCCTTCACTGCGGGCCCAAAACCGCAGGGATTCACCCCAAAACGGCCCAAAACCGCCGGGGTTCACCCCAAAACCGCCGGGGTTCACCCCAGAAATGGCAGAACCACCCAAAACCGCCGGGATTCACCCCAAAACGGCCCAAAACCGCCGGGGTTCACCCCAGAAATGGCAGAACCACCCAAAAATGTCGGGATTCACCCCAAATCCATCAGGATTCACCCCAAATCCATCAGGATTCATCCCAAAATGGCAAAACCCCCTAAAACCATCAAGATCCACCCCAAATCCATCAGGATTCACCCCAAAACAACAAAACCCCCTAAAACCATTAGGATCCACCCCAAACCCATCAGGATTCACCCCAAAAAGACAAAATTACCTAAACCCCTCAGGATTCACCCCAAAATAACAAACCCCCCTAAAACCATCCCAAAACCACCCAAACCCGTCAGGATTCACCCCAAAACAACAAAAGCCCCCAAACCTGCTGGGATTCACCCCAAACAACCCAAATCCGTCAGGCTTCACCCCAAACAACCCAAACCCATCAGGACTCACCCCAAAACAACCAAAGCCCCCCAAACCTGTCGGGATTCACCCCAAACCACCCGAAATCCGTCAGGACTCACCCCAAAACAACAAAAGCCCCCCAAATCTGCTGGAATTCACCCCAAAACAACAAAAGCCCCCCAAACCTGCTGGAAATCACCCCAAACCACCCAAACCCATCAGGACTCACCCCAAACCAACAAAAGCCCCCCAAACCTGCTGGGATTCACCCCAAACCACCCAAACCTGCTGGAATTCACCCCAAAACAACCAAAGCCCCCCAAACCTGCTGGGATTCACCCCAAAACAACAAAAGCCCCCAAACCTGCCGGGATTCATCCCAAACTACCCAAACCTGTCAGGACTCACCCCAAAACAACAAAAACCACCCAAACCTGTCAGGATTCACCCCAAACCCCCCCAAACCTGCCGGGATTCACCCCAAACCACCCCAAACCCGTCAGGACTCACCCCAAAACAACAAAAGCCCCCAAACCTGTCAGGATTCACCCCAAACCACCCCAAACCTGCTGGAATTCACCCCAAAACAACCAAAGCCCCCCAAACCTGCTGGGATTCACCCCAAACCACCCAAACCCGTCAGGACTCACCCCAAACAACCCAAACCCGTCAGGACTCACCCCAAAACAACAAAAGCCCCCAAACCTGCCGGAATTCACCCCAAACCCCCCCAAACCCGTCGGAATTCACCCCAAACCCCCCAAACCCTGAGGATTCACCCCAAACCCCCCCAAACCTGCTGGGATTCACCCCAAACCCCCCCAAACCCATCAGACTTCACCCCAAACCCCCCAAACCTGCCGGGATTCACCCCAAACCTGCCGGGATTCACCCCAAAACAACAAAAGCCCCCAAACCCCCCCAAAACTCGAGGCCACTCACGCTTGCCGCTCTTGGAGGAGGAGCCCCTCTGGCCCGACTTGGAGTTGAAGCTCTTGCCGCGCCGGGAGGTGTTCCCGGACACCCTCTGGCGCTTGGAGGGCACCACGGCGCGCGCGATGGGGGGAGGCGGCGGCACCCGCGCGGGGTAGCTGTACATCCTGCGGGGGGGCACTGGTTATACTGGTTATACTGGTTATACTGGTTACACTGGGCTTTACTGGGTTAGAATGGTTTATACTGGGTTATACTGGGTTATACTGGGAGGGCACCACGGCGCGCGCGATGGGGGGAGGGGGCGGCACCCGCGCGGGGTAGCTGTACATCCTGCGGGGGGGTACTGGTTATACTGGGTTATACTGGTTATACTGGTTATACTGGGTTATACTGGGTTATACTGGGAGGGCACCACGGCGCGCGCGATGGGGGGAGGGGGCGGCACCCGCGCGGGGTAGCTGTACATCCTGCGGGGGGGCACTGGTTAGACTGGTTATACTGGTTATAGGGGTTGGACTGGGTTAGACTGGTTAGAATGGGTTGTACTGGGTTATACTGGGAGGGGATGACAGCTGTGGGGAGGGGGCGGCACCCGCGCGGGGTAGCTGTACATCCTGCGGGGGGGCACTGGTTAGACTGGGTTATACTGGTTATACTGGGCTTTACTGGGTTATACTGGTTATATGGGGTTGTACTGGGTTACACTGGGTTATACTGGGTTATACTGGGAGGGCACCACGGCGCGCGCGATGGGGGGAGGGGGCGGCACCCGCGCGGGGTAGTTGTACGTCCTGTGAGGGGGGCACTGGTTATACTGGTTATACTGGGTTAGACTGGGCTAGACTGGTTTATACTGGGTTATACTGGGTTATACTGGGAGGGCACCACGGCGCGCGCGATGGGGGGAGGGGGCGGCACCCGCGCGGGGTAGCTGTACATCCTGCGGGGGGGCACTGGTTATACTGGTTATACTGGGTTAGACTGGTTAGAATGGGTTGTACTGGGTTATACTGGGAGGGCACCACGGCGCGCGATGGAGGGGCGGCACCCGGCGGGGTAGCTGTACATCCTGCGGGGGGGTACTGGTTAGACTGGTTATACTGGGCTAGAATGGTTTACATTGGGCTTTACTGGGTTATACTGGTTATAGGGGTTGTACTGGGTTATACTGGGAGGGGATGACAGCTGTGGGGAGGGGGCGGCACCTGGGCGGGGTAGCTGTACATCCTGCGGGGGGGGCACTGGTTACACTGGTTATACTGGGTTGTACTGGTTATAGGGGTTGTACTGGGTTATACTGGGTTGTACTGGGTTGTACTGGGTTATACTGGGAGGGGATGACCAGCTGTGGGGAGGGGGCGGCACCCGGGCGGGGTAGCTGTACATCCTGCGGGGGGGCACTGGTTATACTGGTCTGTACTGGTCTATACTGGTCTGTACTGCTCTGTACTGGTCTATACTGGTCTGTACTGGTCTGTACTGGTCTGTACTGGTACCGGTCATAGTAGTCCCGCTGGAAGTCGTAGTCCAGATCGAACGATGATCTGCGGTGGGGGGAGGGAGGGAGGTCAGACCCCAAAACTCCCCCGTGACCCCTAAAAACTCTCAAACCCCCCAAAACCCCCAAAAGCGCCCCCAAAGACCCCTCAAACCCCCCAAAGACCCCTCAAACCCCTTCGTGGAAACTCCAAAGACCCCCTAAAAACCCCCTAAACCCCACAAATGCCCTTAAACTCCCCCAAAACGCCCCAAAGACCCTCAAACCCCTTCGTGGAAACTCCAAAGACCCCCCAAAACCCCCAAATGCCCCTTAAACCCCCGCAGACCCCCAAAGCCCCCAAAGACCCCTCAAACCCCTTAGTGGAAACTCCAAAGACCCCCTAAAAACCCCTAAACCCCCAAATGCCCTTTAACCCCCAGACCCCCTAAACCCCCCCAAAAACCCCTCAAACCCCTTCGTGGAAACTCCAAAGACCCCCCAAAAACCCCCAAACCCCTCCCCAACCCCACAAATGCCCCTTTAACCCCCAGACCCCCAAATCCCCCCAAACCCCCTCCCCATTGCAAATGTGCCCCCAATCACCCCCAAATCCCCCAACCACCCCAAATCCCCCAAAACCCTCCCCATTACAAATGTGCCCCCAACCACCCCAAATCCCCCAAACCCCTCCCTATTACAAATGTGCCCTAAATCCCCCAACCACCCCAAATCCCCCAAACCACCCCAAATCCCCCAAAACCCCTCCCTATTACAAATGTGCTCCAAATCACCCCCAAATCCCCCAACCACCCCAAATCCCCCAAACCACCCCAACCACCCCAAATCCCCCAGACCCCAAAATCCCCCAAAATCCCCCCAACCACTCCAAATCCCCCAACCACCCAAATCCCCCAACCACCCCAAATCCCCCAAATCCCCCAACCACCCCAAAACCCCCAAACCCCTCCCCAGCCTCCTGACCCCCCAAATCCCCCCAAATCCCCCATTGCAAATGTGCCCTCAAATCCCCCAGACCCCCCAAACCCCCCAACCACCCCAAATCCCCCCAAATCCCCCAACCACCCCAAATCCCCCAACCACCCCAAATCCCCCAAACCACCCCAAATCCCCCCAAACCACCTCAAATCCCCCCAATCCCCCAACCCCCCCAAATCCCCCCAAGCCCTCTCTCCCAACCACCCCAGATCCCCAATCCCCCATGCCCCCAGCTCCCCACCTGACGAGGGGGACGGTGACGAGGGCGGGTACTGACCACGTACATCTCGGCCGCGAGCGCTTCACCCCCGCCTTGCCCCGGTTCACCTTCGGCTCGGCCGCCAGGTTGATGTCTGGGGGGCAAAATGGGGGGCTCAGGGGGGGCCCCCCACCCCTGCCCAGCCCTCCCGAGGCACAGGGACCACCCCAAGTGACCCCAAATGACCCAGGAGTGACCCCAAATGACCCAGGGACCACCCCAAATGACCCCAAACGACCCAGGGACCACCCCAAATGACCCAGGGACCACCCCAAATGACCCAGGGACCACCCCAAGTGACCCAGGGACCACCCCAAATGACCCAGGGACCACCCCAAATGACCCAGGAGTGACCCCAAATGACCCAGGGATCACCCCAAATGACCCAGGGACCACCCCAAATGACCCGGGAGTGACCCCAAATGACCCAGGGACCACCCCAAGTGACCCCAAATGACCCAGGAACCACCCCAAGTGACCCAGGAATAACCCCAAGTGACCCAGGGACCACCCCAAGTGACCCAGGAACAACCCCAAATGACCTGGGAGTGACCCCAAATGACCCAGGAGTGACCCCAGCTGAGCTCACCTGGCTCCTGCCCCTTTAATCTGCACCCCAAACTGCCCCGAAATGACCCCAAACTGCCCCAAAATGGCCCCCAAACTAACACTAAATGTCCCCAAACTGACCCCAAATGACCCAGGAGTGACCCCAGGTGAGCTCACCTGGATCCTGCCCCTTTAATCTATTAGCACCCCAAACTGCCCCGAAATGACCCCAAACTGACCCTAAATGTCCCCAAACTGACCCGAAATGGCCCCCAAACTGCCCCTAAATGTCCCCAGACTAACCCTAAATGTCCCCAAACTGCCCCTAAATGCCCCCAAACTGCCCAGAACTGCCCCCAAACTGACCCTAAATGTCCCCAAACTGCCCCCAAATGTCCCCAAACTGCCCCTCGATGTCCCCAAACTGCCCAGAACTGCCCCCAAACTGACCCTAAATGTCCCCAAACTGCCCCCAAATGTCCCCAAACTGCCCAGAACTGCCCCCAAACTGACCCTAAATGTCCCCAAACTGCCCCTCAATGCCCCCAAACTGACCCTAAATGTCCCCAAACTGCCCCTAAATGTCCCCAAACTGACCCGAAATGGCCCCCAAACTGCCCCTAAATGCCCCCAGACTAACCCTAAATGTCCCCAAACTGCCCAGAACTGCCCCCAAACTGCCCAGAACTGCCCCCAAACTGCCCAGAACTGTCCCCAAACTGACCCTAAATGTCCCCAAACTGCCCCTAAATGTCCCCAAACTGCCCCTAAATGCCCCCAAACTGCCCAGAACTGCCCCCAAACTGACCCTCAATGCCCCCAAACTGACCCCAAATGACCCCAAACTGCCCCAAAATGGCCCCAAACTGCCCAGAACTGTCCCCAAACTGACCCTAAATGTCCCCAAACTGACCCTCAATGCCCCCAAACTGACCCCAAATGACCCAGGAGTGACCCCAGGTGAGCTCACCTGGCTCCTGACCCTTTAATCTGCACCCCAAACTGCCCCGAAATGACCCCCAAACTGCCCCGAAATGGCCCCAAACTGACCCTAAATGTCCCCAAACTACCCAGAACTGCCCCCAAACTGCCCCTAAATGTCCCCAAACTGACCCTCAATGCCCCCAAACTGCCCCTCAATACCCCCAAACTGCCCAGAACTGCCCCCAAACTGACCCTAAATGTCCCCAAACTGAGCCTAAATGTCCCCAAACTACCCAGAACTGTCCCCGAACTGCCCAGAACTGCCCCCAAACTGACCCTAAATGTCCCTAAACTGCCCCTAAATTCCCAGAACCGCCCCAAACTGCCCCCAAACACCCATGTGCGTCCTCACCGAGCACCTGTCCGGCGATCATGCGTCCGTCCTGGTGTGTGTGTGATGACCCCAAACTGCCCCTCAATGTCCCCAAATCCCCAGAACCACCCCAAACTGCCCCAAACACCCATGTGCGTCCTCACCGTGCACCTGTCCGGCGATCATGCGTCCGTCCTCGCCGGCCACGGCGGCGCGGGCGTTGCGCTCGTTGACGTACTGCACGAAGGCGAAGCCCTTGTGCACGGAGCAGCCCACGATCTTGCCGTACTTGGCGAAGATGGCCTCCACGTCGCTCTTCTTCACCACCAGCGTGTTCAGGTTCCCGATGAACACGCGCGAGTTCAGCGACCGCGGGTCCGTCTTGTTCGTCACGTTGCTCGCCATGGCCGGGGGGGGGGTCCTGGGGAGGGGGAAGAAAAAAAAGGGGGGGTCAGGGACCACCTGGCTGGAAAAACGCCCCAAAAACGGCGCGAAAGCACCCAGAAATGGCTCGAGAACACCCAGAAATGGCGCGAAAACACCCAGATGTGGCTGGAAAACACCCAGAAATGGTTCAAAAGTATCAAAAAATCGGTCCAAAAGCACCCAGAAATTGCTCAAAACCACCCAAAAATGGCCCAAAAGCACCAAAAAACCGGCTCAAAACCACCCAGAAATGGCTTGAAAGCACCAAAAAACCAGCATGAAACCACCCAGATATAGCTCGAAAGCACCAAAAAAAATGGCTCAAAAGCACCCAGAAATGGCTCAAAAGCACCAAAAAAATGGTTCAAAAGCAGCCAGAAATGGCTCGAAAGGACCAAAAACACAGGACAAAACCACCCAGAAATGGCTCAAATGCACCAAAAAAAGGCTCAAAAGCACCCAGAAATGGCTCAAATGCACCCAAAAATGGCTCAAAAGCACCCAGAAATGGCTCAAAAACTCCAAAAAAAAGGCTCGAAACCACCCAGAAATGGCTTGAAAGCACCAAAAAACCAGCATGAAACCACCCAGATATGGCTCAAAAGCACCAAAAAAAAGGCTCAAAATCACTCAAAAATGGCTCAAAAGCACCCAGAAATGGCTTGAAAACACCCAAACACCTCCTGAACCCACCCAAAACCTCCTGAGACCACCCAAAAACCACCTGAACCCCCCCCAAAACCACCTGAGACCACCCAAAAACCACCTGAGACCACCCAAAAACCACCTGAGACCACCCAAAACCCACCTGAACTCACCCAAAAACCACCTGAGACCACCCAAAAACCAACTGAACTCATCCAAAAACGACCTGAGACCAAAAAACCACCTGAGACCACCCCAAAAACCACCTGAGACCACCCAAAACCACCTGAACTCATCCAAAACCACCTGAGACCACCCAAAACCACCTGAGACCACCCAAAAACCTCCTGAACCCCAAAACCACCTGAGACCACCCAAAAACCAACTGAACTCATCCAAAAACGACCTGAGACCAAAAAACCACCTGAGACCACCCCAAAACCACCTGAGACCACCCAAAACCTCCTGAGACCACCCAAAACCACCTGAGACCACCCAAAACCACCTGAGACCACCCCAAAACCACCTGAGACCACCCCAAAACTACCTGAGACCACCCAAAACCACCTGAGACCACCCCAAAACCACCCCAAAACCACCTGAGACCACCCAAAAACCTCCTGAACTCACCCAAAAACCACCTGAGACCACCCAAAAACCTCCTGAGACCACCCAAAAACCACCTGAGACCACCCAAAAACCTCCTGAGACCACCCAAAAACCACCTGAGACCACCCAAAACCTCCTGAACTCAAAAGCCCCCAAACCCACCCCAAATTAGCCCCCTAATTAACACGGGGACCCCCCTATTTGTGCTGGTAATTTAACTAATTGTTTAACTAACTGTGCTAATTAGCACCCACAGCGCCCCTTAATTAGCAACCACAACCACCCCCTTAATTAGCAACGCTAATTAGCAGCGCTCCCACCCCTGATCCAGCCCTCTTTTTGTTAATTATGCTGATCACCACCCCCAGGTAAATTAGGATGCTAATTAGCATCACACTCCCCACCAAGCTCCTACTAAGCACAGCTTCTAGTTAACGCCCGCCTTAATTAACGGCGCCAATTAGCGCCAGGAGCCCCCTTAATTACCTGCCCAGAGCGCTAACGAACACCCCTCGTTAGCCGCAGGGTGCCACGCCCACAATCAACCCCCGCCCCCTTTAATTAGCACTAATTAACCCCCTCTTACCGTGGGGGTGGGGAGGGGCGTCCGTGGGTCCAGCGACGGCGAGCGGGGAGGGGCGGGTTTGGGCGGTGGGGAGGGCTTAAAAGTGTCGGTGGGAGGGGCTTGGAGAGAAGGGGGAGGGGCCAAAAACAGCCCAAAAAACGACAGTTAAAAAAAAAAAAACACTCAAAAAAAAAATTAAAATAAAAAATAAAAAAAAATTAAAATAAAAATTAAAAAATAAAAAAAGCTCAAAACCCCTCAAAATCCCGCGGTGGAGAGGCCCGGTCCGGGGCCATCCCGGGGGAATTTGGGGAGGGCTCCCAAATCCTGATTGATGGGGGGGAGGGGCGTTAATTAGGGGGTGGGGGTGGGAGAAGCTCTCAAAACCCGCCCCCGTGGAAGAACTGGGGAGAGGCCCCGTGGGGAGGGGGCAGGGGAGAACCGAGGGGAGGGGTGGGCGGGGGTCGGTGGGGAGGGCGGCAAAATCGACCTCGTGGTGGGCGTGGTTTTGTTTTTGTGGTTTTTGGTTTGGCTTTCTGTTTTGGGGTGAAAAAAAAGCAGAATTTGGCACTTACGGTCGCCGGCGGCTCAAAAAAATCGCGCTGTGAAAGACAAATCAACAAAAAAAAAGAGGCAAATTTGGGGCGATTTCGGGAACAGGAGGGCCAAAACGGGGGGGAGGGCGCGCCTCCTCCCCCACACCGCCTCCCACCGCCCCTCCCCAAAGCCTGAGCCCCCCTCCCCCAACGAGGCGCCCCTCCCTCCCCCACCTCGTGTGGCCCCCTCCCCACCCCCTCAAAACAAAGCCGAGGAAAAACTCAAAATCCCTCCAAAATCCCTCCAAAATCAGGCGCTTTGGGGCCCAAAACGGCGCCGGGAGGGGAGGGGAGAGAGGGAGGGAGGGTTTGGGGGAGGGTCTGGGGAGGAGGAGGCCGCTTTTCAGTGCTGCCTCCAGGGCCCTGTGGGAAGGAGAGAAGGTTGAGAGACCCTCCCCCTCCCAAAACCCCCAGTCCCAAATTCTTGGGGGTGACCCCACCCCTTCCTTCCCAGGGGACCCTGACCCCAATTTTGGGGAGGGAAACGAAGTTTGGGGGGAGGGGGGGCAGAAAAAGTTGTGGTTTTTGGGGTGAAAAGAGGAGGGTTTGGGGGCGGGGGAACTGCACGTTTTTTGGGGGAGGGGTCTGATTTGGGAGTTTGACCCCCCAAAAATTGGAGTAAAACCTCCAGTTGAGGTTATTTTTATAAATTATTATTTATTGTTTTTATTATAATTATTACCATATTTATTATATTATATATTTATATATAAACATATCTATATATTTATATATTATTATATTTATATATTTATATATTATCACATTTATTATATTAC